GAGGAAGACCTGAGAGAGTGTGGCATTGATGTGACAGAAGCATCAGTGTACTCAGGATTGTGCACTCAGATCTTCAGAGAGGAGTTTGGCTTGTATCAGGGGAAAGTCTTCTGCTTTGTTCATTTGAGCGTTCAGGAACATCTAGCGGCTCTGTATGTGCACCTCTCCTATAAAAACAACCGCTCACAGTTTCTCTATGATGTGTCCTCAGAATTGTCAGAGTTTTTCACATATAATTTATCTGATGTTCATCAGAGAGCTGTGGATAAGACACTACAGAGTAAAAATGGACATCTGGACCTTTTCCTGCGTTTTTTTCTTGGTCTGTCAGTGAAGAATAATCAGATTCTCCTACAAAGATTAATGAAACAGATAAGAAGCAGCTCTGATAGCAATGAGAAAACAGTTGAGTACATTAAGATGAAGATCAGGACCTCTCGATCTCCAGAGAAATCCATCAATCTGTTCCACTGTCTGAATGAACTGGGTGATCATTCACTAGTGAAGCAAATACAACACTATCTGAGATCTGGAAAAATAAAGAAAGTCAAACTTTCTTCATCTCAGTGGTCAGCTGTAGCTTTTGTGTTGTTGACATCAGAGAAGGACCTGGATGAGTTCAGACTGAATGAATTTGTTGGAGCAGAAAATAAAGCTGATCACGTTCTTCAGAAGTTGGTGCCTGTGATTAAAGAATCAAGAAGAGCTGAGTAAGTATCACTAGACTGTTAATATTACACAAATTAAAGGGCTCATATGATGCGTTTTCATGTTCTCCCTTTTTTTTTAGTGTGTTATGTAGCTGTTTGTGCATGTATAAGATTTGCAGTTACAAACCTCAAATTCTCGCATAAAAGAATGCGAGCATGCAAGTGCAGCTCCTATGTCTTTGAATGGGTAAACATCAAATTCTCCAAAACTGTTCACCAAGCTTACGATTAAATTTCATATTTGAACTCACCAATGAAATCTGACAACAACTTTCTCATAAATGTTGTTTCTTATGCTCCAATAGCATTAAAAAAGCTTATTTTTTTTAGGCTAGACCAGCCAGTGCGCATGCGCATTCCTAATTGTGCGTCTCCAGAACGCTGACAATAGCTGTCTCATTTAGAAGGCCGCATCCTCTGAAGGATGCGTATACGGAGTGTTCTCAACCCAGAATTAAACGAGACGGCCTTTGTAGGATGAGCGGAAAAGAAAAAAGGGAGTATCATGTTGCTATGCCAACACATTTATAGTGTCGTTGCACTTTCATGCTAGTTAAATGTACAATACCAGATGGTTAAACAAATTAACAATTACTCGCTTGCTAGCAAAGGACTGTTCTCAACATTTAAAAATCACTAAACTCTTGTAATCCTGTTTACCACATCTACCAACCGAGGGAATACAACTTAAAAAAGAAGAACTTGAAAATACATACATTTAAACGCCACATCTTCGCTTTTGTGTACCGTTACATCTGCTGGTGCCAGATTTTTTTTAACTTCAAATAACGACGCAAAGAATTGTGGGTTATCTGTAGCAGCGAAGGATACACCTCATGCATCAAGTGTCCTACTTGCTTTTCTGAAATGAGACAGCCTAGATGACGAATGCCTTCCTAAGCCTTGGAATGATGGTGCGTTCAAGTCATGTCAGATAAATCGTATTTACGAGTTGAACGCACATGAACGCCACCACAGAGTCGTTATTACGAGTGGGAAACTCAAAATTTTCTTTAAGCCCCGAGTTTCCGAGTTGAAGGCGTGTATGTGAGAAAATGTGTCGGATGCAATGGACGCATCCAAAGACTAGATATGCAACATCTGTATTGATGGTAAATTTGTTGAAATTAATAAAATGATTAATTTTTTTTGTAATGTAAAATAAAACTATGTTACATATACAAAATATTATACTATTGTATAATTACCAAAGAACATATGATTCAATTTACATCACCTTCATAAATTGAATAAAAACAGAAAAAAGCAAAAACACAATGACGCACATTCTTTATTCATCATTTTGTAGATGTAAAGTTTAAAAAATCGTTGAATTTTATGGAAAAAAAGTAAAATCTCCATATTGTTCCGAGCAAAGTGACTTGAACGCACCTGACGTCGTTATTACGATTTGTCAACTCGTAAGTACGAACGTCCCAGGAGGACTTGAACGCAGCATGAGACACAGCTTATTTCTATAGCAACCGGGACTTCTAAGGGCAGCTGCAGTGACATGATGTCTTTACCGATTAGCGATTGGCTCTTTTACTCAGAAGGCAGGCAGGGGCGTAGATTACGCGGGGGACATGTCCCCCCCACTTTTAATATCACGGAAATTCGTCCCCCGCACTTTTTCGGGCAAGTGTGTTCGTATAGAGGTTTTCAAGAGCGGGTGTGAATAAATATAGATTATAAATTCAAAGAGACAGGGTAGTCTGTGCATGATCTGATGTTTTATTCGGACCCAGAATAATGCGAGATGAACATCACGGAGCACTAAACACTCAAAATTGTATGTTTCATTCATGCTCTCACGCACAAAGTCGTACGAGGAAATCCCTAATATGGACAAAAGCGTCCAGCTATCGCTGTATGAAAACAGTTGTTTTAAAAAAAACTGAAACGTTTGGAAACATGAAGACATTTAAACATACGATTGCAACAATATATGGTTTATTTGTGTTTGTCAAGTCATCTCCAGGTAATAAATAAAGTATTTTTTATAATAAATTACTCTGCCTTATTATGTGATAAAAAAGTGTTTGTATTATATAAACAAATCATTATTATTGGTTATTGTCCAGCAGTTATCTGATTTCTAAGCCAATTAAAAGCTAGAAATTACAGAACAATTAAAGTTGACGATACACTACCAGTCAAAAGTTTTTGAACAGTAAGATTTTTCATGTTTTTTAAAGAAGTCTCTTATGTTCACCAAGCCTGCATTTATTTGATCCAAAGTACAGCAAAACAGTAACATTTTGAAATATTTTTACTAGGCTATTTCAAATAACTTTTCTATTTGAATAAATTTTAAAATGTAATTTTATTGTGATTTCAAAGCTACAATTTCAGCATCATTACGCCAGTCTTCAGTGTCACATGATCCTTCAGAAATCATTCTGATATTCTGATTTGCTCCTCAAGAAACATTTATTATTATTATTATTATTATGAGGTTGAAAACAGCTGAGTAGAATTTTTTCAGGTTTCTTTGATGAATAGAAAGTTCAGAAGAACAGCATTAATCTGAAATAGAAATCTTTTATAACATTATAAATGTCTTTATCATCACTTTTGATCAATTTAAAGCACCCTTGCTAAATAAGTGTTCATTTCTATAATTTCTTTTCCAAAAAAATAAAAATTATACTGACTCTAAGCTTTTGAATGGTATAGTGTATAATGTTACAAAAGCTTTTTATTTCACATAAATGCTAATCTTTGGATCTTTCTATTCATCAAAGAATCCTGAAAAAAATTACTCAGCTGTTTTAAATATTGATAATAATAATAAT